GGTCAATGACATGAGACAAAGTATATGTGAACTGCTGTATGAAAAGTGAATTTACTCTGTAAATCTTCACCCAAATCCTAATAAAAAAAAAAAAAAGATACCCCATAGGGAGAGGGCAGCTTAGGGGTGCAGTTCAATGGGCATAGGTCCCTCTCCAGAACTGGCCGGCCTAAGCCCAATTCCTTTGGCTCCTCTACACTAGTGGACTGGTAGGGACCTACCTGAGGACGGGCTACTGAATTCAGGGGACAGTCCCTCCCTCTGGGGCAGAAGGGCTGATAGCAGCCAGAGCTCTCATACAGGGGAGGTGGGTACCCAGGACAGACACCTGTACAGGTGTGCTTGCAGGAGAGTGTTGCCATGCCCATCCGCGTGTGACTGAACTTGCACATGCGCCTGTGTGTGCACCCAGAGCTTCATGGATCCTTGTGCACATATGTGGGTGCATGTGGGCACACATACACACGTGTGTGCTTATCTGCACACACGGGTGACAGGTGTGTGCATGCCTGTGTGCAGCTGAAGCAGCTGCGGGAGCTGGAGCAGGAGCAGGAGGTGCTGTTGCAAGGCCTGGAGATGATGGGGCGTGGCCGGGACTGGTACCAGCAGCAGCTGGGGCGCGTGCAGGAGCGCCAGCGCCGCCTGGGACAGAGCCGAGCCTGCACTGTGAGTGCACAGCCACAGGGGCCGCCCCCAGCCCAGCCCGCTGACGTCCCGCCTTGGGCGCTGGGACCCCTTCCCAGCACTGACTACCCCGCACCCCCGCCCCATGCATGGAGCCCTGGGTGGGGGGGCCGGAGAGCCACCTGCGGGTTCTCTGACCCAGCCCCACTTTGCTTCCAGGACTTGGGCGCTGAGGGGAGCCCCCGCCCACTGGGACGGCTGCTGCCCAAGGTGCAGGAGGTGGCCCGGTGCCTGGGGGAGCTTCTGGCCGCCGCCTGTGCGGGCCGAGGGAGCGGCTCCCCAGACCCCCCGGAGCGGGTGAGTGCCCCTCGCCCTGTCCTGGAGGTTGTGCGGCGCCAGGCCGGGCTCGCTTGACCCTGCCCTTCCGCAGGCTCCGCCCTCGTCCTCCTCGGGGGCCCCGGGCCCCTGCGCCCCGGCCCCTGGCTCGCCCGCGGCCCCCTCCTGGCAGCAGCAGCAGCAGACTATCCTCATGCTGAAGGAGCAGAACCGGCGCCTCACCAAGGTGAGGCGGGG